GTTACTTTATATTTTTGTTAATATATTTGAAAAATTAATTAAAGCATAAACATAATTTTATACTACAATTAGAAAAGGTGCAAAATTACACAAATATTAATATTTATAAAAAGTAACACTAAATAATAAATAATAACATACATCACTTGTAATCTCGATTCGACCAAATATGTTCAACCAAGTAGGAGTGGAGTTGACGGCGAACTTCATTTGAGCGCAACTCACAATTTCGTTGAAGATATTATTGGAATTCATGAGTAGAACCTTGAAATATTTGTGTTAGATTATCTACCTTTTCGACAAAATAATATAATGAAATAATTAAAAATTAAACCTATGAATACAAAAACTTGTATAAAAACGAAAAATAAAACAAAATTAAAAAAATATATCTTATAATAATTATTTTATATTTTTTAATCAATTTTAATTTATATGTTTTATAGATATATTAAAAGAAAATAAAATGGTTAAAAATAATAACAAAAAAAGGAATGTATGTAAGAACCCGAGTTCTTGTTCAAACACCTGAATTCTAATTAGAATTTGTAACTGTATAAGAACATTTGTCCCACGGTAAAAAGTTCTTGTAAAACCCTCAAAAGGAATCTCGACAAAAAAACTCCATTATAAATGATCTGGGTACCTACTTTATGCTAAATAAATAACCTTTTCATAAAACACTTGAAATCAAATGTTTCTTTTTAGATGGTGATTTCATATAAATATAGATGTGAGTTATTATGCAATCTTTTACATTTGTACAACCAATACAACTAAATTTCAACAGTCTATTTAATTTGATGAATATGTGATTTCATAAAAGTTTAGATTGTTTTTCTAATATAAAGTATTGATCATTATTAATGAATCCTAATCATATTCCATAAATATTCAAATCATAATAAATGAACTCTCGTCATTTCCATAAGTATCTCAATTGATTGAGTTACATTGGTTGTACAAATGTGATAAGTTACATTTGAAACGTCCTATATATATATATATATATATATATATATATATATAAGGCTTATTAACTAGAAATATGAAAGCTAGGTCAGGTCATTTTGAAGCAAAACACTAGCTTCATTAATGAGTAGATTGTATCTACTAACGATCTGCCTTCTTGTGGTGCAAAATGAGGTAACAGGTGGATGGTTCTTTTGCTTTTGAGTTCAATAATGCAAATTGTACGAAAAGTTATCAGATGATTAAAGTGTAAACAGGCCTATTAGGCTAATCAGTTCATACCTTTACATGAATCCATAAAAAATTGTGATTTAAAATTTAGAGGAGCCAATTACAAATTTAGCCAATGTCATTTTGACTGTATTGGTTTATGTGTTCTTTGTCAGCAGAGATTTTAAAATACATGAATTAGATTCTTCTTTGTATTCATTATCATCTTTCACAAAAGTTTAATGCTTGAATAATCTTTTAAAAGGGTTTGTCATGCTTTGATCAGTGTGCAAAACGATGCATGTGTTGGAGTCCCACATCAGCCAGACACGGGTTAAATTAAAAAAGCCAAGTTCCATTGTGAAACAAGGGACAAAGGAGAGCACGCCATGTGTCCATATATTAACGGGTTATTCTTTATGAATGATCACATTCACAGTAGAAAAAAGGTGTTGCAATTGAACTTTCCTATATATATGTAAGAAACTCCCTTGCAGGGTTCTGTTAGAAAGATGATTGAAGGGGTTCCACATATTCTAAATGGTATCAGAGGTGGTTTCTAGCACATTGATCAAAGAAAGTTAAAAGTTTGGGTGTTGTTGGCTACAATAAGAAGAAACTAAAAACTGTTGGCTTGGGCATTCTTGGTGTGGTTTAAGCAAGAAAACATGCTCATGAAGATTATGACCATAAATGTGTTTCACTTTCACATGATGTCTTTATATGCAGTTAAAGAAATCCCTTCTATCACCACAAGTTGTTAATGGCTAAAGTCTTGTATCATGATATGGAGATTCTGCAGTTTCTTTTTACTGATGTTGACCGTATAGTAATAGAGTTCATCCATGTTTTTCCCCATATTGCACTGTTTGCATACTTTTATTGTCGATTCTTCTATTTAAGTTTGAAACCATTCTATTATTCTATATCATAGCAATCAAACCGAATTTGGTCCATTTCTTATCGAGTCTTTTTAGTTTCAAGGCCAGAAGACAAAACCTGAGAGAAATGGATCATGAACAATACTTCAGACCTCTTCTTGAATCATCTTTTACTATCCCAAAATCCAAGTACAGGTTGGAGTTTGGCATAYTGGAGATTTTTGCAGAACTGAAGCAACAACTGATATTAGCAGGTCCTTTTATTGTGGTTAGCTTTCTTCAGTATAGTTTTCTGCTGATTTCAATTATGTTCATAGGCCACCTTGGAGAGCTCTCCCTTTCTGYTGCATCTATGGCCACTTCTTTCGCAAGTGTGACTGGTTTCTCCTTCATGGTAATGAAAAAGATCTGTTTCTTTTTTTCTTCTCTTTTTTTTTTTGATAACCGTGTGGGTGTCAGAGTCATCTTGCACACAACTTGACTAATCTTATGGGACCCTGAAGATAAAAGCTAGGAAAATCCCCAATGGCCTTGAAGAGAGTCGAATTGGCGGCCTATGGGGAAAAGACCTGTTGCTTGGTGCCTATTAATGTGGGTTTTTTTGGTGGGTCAATCTCATTAAAGTTGATTGCTTTCATTTGTTGATCAGATGGGCATGGGAAGTGCATTAGAAACATTCTGTGGGCAAGCTTTTGGTGCAAAACAGTTTCAAATGYTTGGTRTATASTTGCAGAGAGCTATGGTTGTACTAATGCTAATGGGCATTCCAATTTCTCTAATCTGGGGATCCACATGCCAAATCTTTACATATTTTGGACAAGATTTAGAGATCTCARAAAATGCTGGAAATTACGCACGTTGGCTGATCCCGAGCATCTTTCCCTATGGTCKACTCCAATGCCAAATGAGGTTCCTGCAGACTCAAAACAACGTGAAGCCATTGATGATAAGCACTGCATTTGCAAGCTTACTTCATGTGTTATGTTGMTGGATCTTGGTTTCCAGATTTGGGTTCGGTAGCTCTGGTGCTGCTYTCTCTGTTGCCATCTCGTACTGGATAAACGTGGTGATTTTGGGTGTTTATATCATGAATTCACGTACCTGCAAAAGAACATGGATTGGGTTTTCTGAAGAGGGTCTTGATGATCTTGCTGGAATTCTTGCCTTAGGCATACCTTCTGCTCTCATGGTCTGGTTAGTTTCAATGATTCTTGYTTTCGGCCCATCTTTTTTGCTTCTTTCAAGCTAAAATATACTTTCTTTCGGTTCTTATTTTCATCATATATATAAGCTTGGAGTATTGGCATACGAGTTTCTGGTTTTACTGTCCGGAATTCTTCCAAATCCGAAGCTAGAAACATCGATGATGTCTATCAGGTGAAGTTTTCATAATTAGTTGTTCTTTCACCTGAAGATTGGGTTCCGTTCTAACTTCATATCTTCTTTCTCCCAGCCTTAGCACGATTTCGCTTGCCTACAGAATTCCCTTTGGTTTCGGCAATGCAGTTAGGTACGCTTTACGATCCTCCACCCCTTCTCAA